TATTTTTTTTTTTATCTATTCAAATAAAATTAATATTAATTTTTCGTTTTCCTTCACTTCTCCTCTGTTTCCTTTTCCTTCTTTCCCCTTACTTTCCTTTACTAATTTTATCCGAACATAGGCAGGTCTTTAGGAAAGAGAAATTTCAGACAAGGCATTTTCTGGGCCTTCACCACCGACTTAGCTGCTTTCCAATTTTTTTTGTTTTTTTAACCAACGATTCTACAACTGAATCTGAAACAGATGGATTTTTAGTTGAAGCATAAAAGGTAAATATGAAAAATCGATATTAGATTCGATAAATTTCCTTTTGTTTCTTTTTTCTCTTGAAATCCACTTCAGATAATCAAAATTATTTCTTTGAGCTTTAATTACTAGTTTGAGGACTTATGAAGCCAAATTCATTTCTTCTTTTAGCAATGATTTAGCGATTAAATGAGTACTTTATCATCAATTTATGTTTTTTTTCATTTCATTTTTGAAGTTGAGTACCAAGGACAGGAATTTAAGTTTGAAAATTTAACTTTAATTAATTAAAATTTGAATCTTTTGAAATTTTGTTCCATTGGAGCTTGTAGATTAAGATTTGGTGCCCATGGCTATTCGAAGGGTTTTGACAAGGATGAGAGAGAAAAGGCAGGAAGAGAGGAGAAAGCGAAGGAGAGGAAGACGAAGGGTACTTTTGTCTTTTTACTTTTTTATTTTTAAGTATAAATTTTTTTGAATTTTTAGTAAAATAAACATATAATTAACAAATTGTATACAAATTATATTTTGAAATTTTCTTTTCTTATGGTACTTTTCTTAATTTTATAGCATATATTTTTTAATTATTGTACTATAATACTAATTATATTGACTATCCATTTTTTATTTTATTTTATTTTTATGCTATAATTATACAACATAATTTAACTAACTAAATTAAAAACTAATACAGCTTTAAATTGTTCCTTATATAATAAAAGCTTTGCTCTTAGAAAACTCTACTTTTTAAAGTATTAATGGCTTAAGCTTACATGTTGTGATTGTATTACTGGTACTATTATTTGGTTACGTATGATATTAGTATGTTTTATAATTATAGTTTTTGTAATTTGATATTAAGATTTTTTATTTAATTAAATATATTTTAGATAATATTAAAAAATTAATTAATCTAACCAAATTATACTAATTTAATTAAAGTTAACTTAATTTAATTATAATATAAAATAAAATAAATTTATTTTATTTTATAAATATTATTATTTTTTGAAAATAAGCAATGGATATAAATATTAAAATTTCATCCAATTCTTAATGTGAACCCCCCTAACAACCACCGCTTGTTCATTTTTCTTTTTCTTTTTTTTGACCCAGACAAGGCCTGGCCTTTTGTCACATTATTTTT